ACTCAATGTTCCATACCCACCACATTCTGAGTTAGTGAATTCCACACATTCATGATATTTTGAGAGAAGCAATTTCACCTCATCAGTTATAAATCTGCTACCCCTTATCCTAAAACAATGACCTCTTGTTCTAGATTGTCTCACATGAAGAAACATCCTTTCTACATCTACTTTGCCAATCATCTTTAGCATCTTATATCAACTGGATCTCCTCTCCTGCTTCTAAATTTCTGAGAGTATAGGCCTAAACTGCTCAATCTCTTTTCATAAGACAACTCCCACATCTCTGGAATCAAACTAATGAATCTCCTCTGAACTGCCTCCAATGCAACTACACCCCTCTTCCAATAAGCAGGCCAAAACTGTACACAATACTCCAGGTGTGGTGGTCTCACTAATGCCTTGCACACTTGCAGCAACACTTCTCCACTTTCAGCAATCTAAATCATTCCCTATTAAAACATTGAATGGCATGGGTGAATAAACCTTCATTCAAGGGCCCCTTGTGTAAGCAAGAAAATCCTAGCCAGTGCACAGTGACCTGAACAGTATAATCTGAGGGAGGATGGAGTGGGTACAGCTGATCAACCATTTCCAAAGCCTCACTAACTCGGAGATTGAAGGAATGTCATCTCTTGATAGAGAAAAAGACGTAGGGTGCTCAGCAGGCAGTCTACATACAAATTAGGATCAGAAGTAGGCCACTCAACACCTCATGCCGATACCACCATTCAATAAGATCATGGCCGATCTGATGAATCCACATTTCTGCCTAGCCCCAGTAATCTTACTACCCCTTTGTTTATTAAAAAAAAAAATCTGTCTACTTCTGCCACAATGACAATCAAAGGCTCTGCTGCCAGTCTCTTTTGCAGAAAAGTGTTCCAAAGAATCATACCCTTCTGTGAGAAAACAAGTTCTTCCTTACCTCTGTGTTAAATAGGTAACATTGTCCACTTTGCATCTTGTCCACAACTGGATAGAGTCTCCAGAACAAGATGAGTAATGGGAATGCAATGGGACACAATATACAGAACTATATCTAATGAAAGGTTGTATAGACAGTAGGCCAGTCTCAGTGCTTGAGAAAAGTGGGGAAGGTGATATCTGCAGGGCAATCGTAGGAACGATTTCAAACCAACAGATCAAACAAATTCATGAGTTTGAGCCATGTGTTTGGAATGTAGGAAAAGACTTTCAGGAGATGGTCCGTTATAAAAAAAGGCTTGCATTTATATAGCAACTTCCTCTCAGAACATCCCAAAACAGTTTACAGCCTATGAAGTGCTGTTGAATTGTGATCATTGTTGCAATGTTGCCACTTGGTTCACAGCAAATTACCACAAACAGAAGTGCAGTGTTGACTGAAGGATAAATATTGGCCAGCACACTTGGAAAACTTTGCTACTTTTACTTGAATTAGTGTCATATAGTTTTTTTTTAAAAATTCACTTGAGATGGCCAACCAGATCCTGGTTTCATGCAAGGCAATGTTAACAATGCAACACTCTCTCAGGAGGGAGTGTGAGCCTAGGTTTTGGTGTGGGATTGGAACTGACAACTTTCTGTCTGAGCAGCAAGTGTGCTAGCCACTGATCTTTGAAAATCTTAAATGTTGAAGTTTTCACCTGGAGTCAAAGAGTTTTTCCAAAGGGAGTAATACTGCTGAACCAAAGCTGGGTATTAATGACTTAGCCAGATGTGCTTGGACTTGCCTTCCCTCTGATGTAAGGGTATGCAGCAGAGAAAGGCAGGAGTGGGAGATGCTGAGTGACTTGTAAGTGCAAGAGGGCACGGAAAGGAGAATGAAGCAGAAAGTTGATGGATGCAAAGATTTGTGAAGGCTTTGTGGGTGGTGGGAAAACAGTTTCAGATTTCAATCAATATTCCCCTTATGTGATGCCACCTCTGGTTTATTTTTCCCTCTGTCTGTATTGGGTAGGCCATTACTTTATCCACTCTCTGATTCTCACCTGGAATCATAGAGTCTCTACAGTGTGGAAACAGGCCATTCAGCCCATTGAGTCCACACTGACTCTCCGAAGAGCATGCCACCCAGACCAGCCCCCTACCCTATCACTGTAACCCTGCATTTCCCATGGCTAGTCTACCTCGCCCGCACATCCCTGCACACTATGGGCGATTTACTTTGGCCAATCCACCTTGCCTGCACATTTTTGGACTGAGGAAGGAAACCAGAGCACCTGGAGGAAACATACGTAGACATGGGGAGAATGCGCAAACTCCACACAGTCAGCTGAGAGTGGAATCAAAACCAGGTCCCTGGTACTGTGAGGCAGCAGTGCTAACCACTGAGCCACCATGTCACCCCAGCACTAGCACAAATCCACCATTTGTTGTTTATGCCCCAGCTTGCTAGTGTGCTGCCTGTCGCTGCACACCGTAAGGATCACAAGTTTGCTGCCAGCTGGGTGTGAAAGTTTGTTGCTTTTAGTTTAGTCAGGAATTTCGGTAACCTGGGGAAGAGCAACAAGTTTTTGTAAGTCTCCCATGTCGTAACCAACAAATTAGTTGACTTGTTGTGACATAATTTGATTCTCTATTAGTACATACCTTGCATAGTTACCCAAGTGTATCAGTGAGAAGGCTCATTTATACTTATTTGGAGGTAGAGTTGTAAGTATAGAAGATTTAATGATGTGGCAATAATTGAGCCATTAGAAGAATAACACCCAAGATCCAAAAGTAATTTAAGTGAGATACAAGTATCTATATGATATAATTCAATTATGTGGCAAGAGAATATTAGCACTCGACTCCTAATCTGCCAACATTACCCACTTACAAATGTGTCACTTAATTGACTCACATCAGACCCAAGCTTGTAGTATCCTGTTCCTCTGCAATGTGCAGTCATTATATCAACAAGGCATGAGATATTAGAATGTTAGAACAGCGGCTACCTGTGAAATCATAGAAAAATATATCACAGTCCGGCACTTGCACACACACCCTTTCACACAAACTGTTAGAAGTGTGGGCTGTGCTGCTGAATTTTAAATCACGGAAGCCAGCTGCTACAAAATGATGAAGGGTTTTCTGATGAAGGGTCTAGGCCCGAAACGTCAGCCTCTCTGCTCCTACGATGCTGCTTGGCCTGCTGTGTTCATCCAGCCCTGCACCTTGTTGCTACAAAATGAGTTCTGATTTCACCAATGTTTCTTTCCACTTCTGGCTCGAAGAATTCCTGGATACGTCTCCCCTGCTTTGTAGCAGAAGGATCCTATCCAGGAATTTCCAGAAGCCAGACCAGAAGTCATCTAAATGTATCTGAAATAGGATTTCCGATCAGAGTTTCTTGGCCTTAACCTCCCACACTTCTACTTTCCTTCAGTTCTGATGAAATACCATCGACTTGAAACATTAACTGTTTCTTTCCACAGATACAGCCTGAATTGCTGAGATTTCCATTTATATCTCTTCTTATTCAAAAATAAACATTCCAGCCTCATGCAGCCTGAAATACAATTTCCATTTCCTAATCATCCCTAAGCCTTTAATGATGCATTTTGATCAGAAGAACATTGAAAGATAATATAAAATAGGGGATATGGTTCTAAAGGGGGTGCAGGAGCAGAAGGACCTGGATGGATAGATGCACAGATCATTGAAGGTGGCAGGATGGGTGGAGAGAGCAGTTAATGTCCTCCGCTTTAGCATAGGGTACAAGAGCATGGAGTTGATGTTGTGAATTTGTACATGATGCCTGTAGACCTCAGCTAGAGCATTGTGTACAGTTGTGTGTACAGCACCACATTACAGGAAAGATGTGAACACATTGGAGAGAATGCAGAAGCAATTTACAAGAATGGCTCGAGGAATGAAAAATTTCAGTTACGAGGACAGATTGAAGAAGTTGTGATTGCTGTCCTTGGAAAGAAGATGGCTGAGAGAAGATTTGATAGAGGTTTTCAAAATCACGAGTGGGCTGGAGAGAGTAATAGGGAGAGTCTGTTCCTGCTCATAAAAGGGAAAAAAAGATATGGCATAGATTTAAAATGATATGCAAACGAAGTAAGGATAATATGAGAAAAAGCTTTTTCACAAAGCCAATGGCTTGGTTATGGAGTGCACAGCCTGGAAATGTAGAGGTGGCAGGTTCAATTGAGGCATTCAAGATGGCATTGGATGGTTATTTGAACAGAAATAATATGCTAGGGGAATGGGGAAAAGGCCGAAATTGGCACTGCGTGATAGAATCAGGGCAGCCACGATGGGCCAAATGGCCTCCTGCACTGTAACAATTCTGTGATTAATAGATGCCTGCTGAAGAGCCTGACACGTTTACAGAAGTTCCTTACAAATTTGTAATTCTCAAATTTGGAACAGTAGCACAGATACTGGAGCGAGCACAGGAACGTTCACTGGGATTACATGGTTGAAGTGGGTTCAATGCTTCTCAGGATGAATATTTCTGTAGAACAGGTGAACACTAATGGAAATCATTACTGGTGATTTTAAAAAAGAGAATTTGCATTTAATTAGCATCTTTCACAATCCCAGGGTATTCTTTAAACGCAGTGAAGCACTTTTCTGAGAATGTAAACACTGAGGAAATGTCCAAAATGCTGCAGATACTTGCACACAGCAAGCCCCAACAAACAATGTGATAATGACCAGATAATTTCTGTTGGTGATGTTGGTTAAGGGGTAAATATTGGCCAGGAGACAAAGGAGAACTTGCCTGCTATTACAATATTGCTGTGGAACGTTCTTGTGCACAAAATAAAGTGGACAGGACCTGGGCTAAAGGCCCCAATCAAAAGACTGCATCTGAAGGTTCTGAGGAAGGGTCACCAGACCCAAAACATTAGCTCTGATTTATTCTTCACAGATGCTGCTAGACCTGCTGAGCTTTTCCAGCGACTTCTGTTTTTGCTCCTGATTTACAGCATCCGCAGTTCTTTCGGTTTTTATTTAGCAACTGAACGGTCTACCCTTGCTCAGTACTGCAGTGAGTGTCAGCTTGAACTTTGTACTCAAGTCACTAGAATTAATTTTATTTTGGTTAGAAGCAGCTTTTCATACTATACAAATAAATAAGAGGTTCACAATCACGGTTTGTCCAACAGTGGAAGGAACTAACAATATTTGAAGTTTTCTGGAGTAAGGCCCAAGTATATTTCACGGTTCGATAGTCTGGCCATTTTTTGTTTTGCTCTTATACTTTCAAACACCTCTGGAATGGTTGAAATTCACTGAACAGACAGTGGAACAGCAGATCGTCCTTTGTTTATCTGTTTACAACACAAATAAATAAATGTCATGTAAAATTTTGCAAATGAACTGTTTTCCATATCCTTTGTCTTTCCAGTTGCTTATCCATGGAATAACATTACATAGAATTCTACAGCACAGAAACAGTCCAGAAGTTTGTTTGATTCACGTTGGTGAATATGTCCTGCACAAGTCTTCCCCTACTTTCCACTTGGCCCCATCAGCATATTTTGTTCTTTTCTCCCTCTCATGTTTATTTATATTTCCTTCAACTGCCTCAATACAATTCCTGAGGCTGAACAATTTTGAACAGCAGGGGGTGTCACAGGAGCTAAAGAGAAGGCACAAAGATAGTGGGCGCAATCTAGTGCCCTCTCCATGTCAAGTGACTAGGGTTAGGAGGGGGTGGGGTCATATGATCACGTAGGAGGATGGTGGGTGGAAACCACAACACCTTCCTGCCCCTATTCCAATCATGCTCATGGTGGCAAAGCCAAAGGATAGCTTTTCATCCTGAGCGTCATACAAGACCCTTAATTACTGCCCAGTTAAGTATCTATCAGTAGCAAATGGGTAGCTAACCAGGAGGGGAGAATGCTAAGTAAACCTAAGTGCCTGAGTGGAAGAACAGGTACAGGGAGTTCCCCAAAAGAGGTGATGCAGGGCTCTCACCAGCCTCCCAGACAACAGCCGAAACACCACCTATCACCTCCAAAAGAATTCTGCCAGTGATTCCATTTGGGAGGTCAACCAGTTTTCAAGGTGCTATGAAAATAGTGTACAAGTAGGAATGAAAGAAGAAACAAGAGCTTACATTTATAAAGCAGCTTTCAAAAACCAGTGGGTGTCTAAAAGCGCTTTACAGCCACTGAAGTGGCTACATAATTCTGAGTGTGGTCACTGTTGTAATGCAGGAAACATGACAGTCAATTTATGCACAGCAAGCTCCACAAACAGCATCACCATAATGACCAGATAATCTGTTATTGCTGATGTTGATTTAGGGATATGTATTGGCCAGGACATCTAACTGAACTATCCAGTTCTTCAAAATGAGGTCCTAGGATTTCTTTTTATCCACTTTCAAGGCCAGATGGCCTCAGTTCAGTGTCTGATCTGAAAGACGCCATGTCAGCGCATACTTGATAGTGTCGGTCAGCCTGGATTTATGTTGCTCATCACTGGAATGGGACTTGAACTCAGAGCCCAGTGCGTCATGTTCTATGGCGGATGTCAAACATTCTGTACTGATGTCAAGTTACATGTTTAGTAACTTGTTTAGTAACATATCGAGTGGTCACAGTCAGCGCACAGACAGGGTGACTGAAATACCATGAGATTGCAAAACACTACTGCCTTCGAACAAGGAAGCAACTTTTATTTTATAACTTACATTTAACTTTTCAGTGCCATTGTCAACCGCTGTCATCTTATCTTGAAGCTCCTGGAGGAGAAGAGGATTGTTAAAAATGAAACTATTCTTCATCTCTCTCTCTCTGTCTCTCCATTCTGCAGACACCACATAGTTAAGCAGAGCAGGTTGTGAGGAATCTTCCCACACACATGTAAACACATTACTAGGGATTATTGTTGCCCCATTCCTGGAGACTTGATGAAATCTGGGGTTCACAAAGTGGTAAATCTGGTTGAGAACCCCAGATCTAATGTTTGATCTAGGAGCATCAATAGCTCTGCATTTATGGCTTTACACTCATTGCTAATGGTTAACAGTGATTGATGTAGGAAAACCATGGACAAGTAATAAATTAACTCACAGGAAAATAATCAGTACGATACTGCTGAGGAAAGAGTTTTTGTCCTCATCAAGACTGTCTGAAGAATACCAAATTCCAAAGGGAGTAACAATTTGAAATGCATGAGAAAAGGGTGCTGATCGCTTTGCAAATCTTAATCAGAATCTTAAAGCGGGAGACAAGAGCAGAGAAGTTTAGGAAGGGAGTATGAGAGCATTGGTCTTAACCATCAATAACAGAGAGATAGAAATCAGGGATGTTCCAGAGGCTCGAGTAGAGACACCTCGGAGGAGTTGTAGGAGGTTATTGAGGTAGGGATGGAGTGACGGCCAATGAAAGATTTGACAACAAGGATGACATTTTAAATTCAAGGTGTCCCTGGTCTGGCAGCCAATGCAAATCCACAGGAAGTGATGACTGAATTGGACTTAGTACGAGCCAGGATATGGATGCAGACTCTCGGATGAGCCCAAGTTTATGGAGATTGGAAGATGGAGGCCATTCAGAAGAGCATTGGAACATTCCTGTCTGAAAGTAACCAAGGCATGTCGAAGGCTTTCAGCAGAACATGGCCCGAGACAGAGGCAAAAACTGTAGTAAAAGTAATCAGTGGCATCAGTTTTCATGTGAAGACTGTACATACCATACTAAAGAATAACAGAGCAACAGAAGAAATCCAACCACTCCCAGGGAACCCAGTCCTAGAAATATCATTATTTGCACACTGTCTGATGAACCTAGACAAAGAAAATAATTTTGTGTAAACATATTGAGTGTAAATAAGTATGAATGAATTGATTGGCTGTATCTCACCCATGTGATTAAGGGGAATATTTATTACAACAATTATTGCACACTATAAATCTGTGCAAAGTTTTGCAGGTCTGCAATGTGAACTTTGTAAAGTTCAAACTCCAGCTTACAGATGACAAAAACAAGGAAGTTATGAAGAATCTTTATAAAAATCTGGTTAGCCCACAAGAGTATAGCTTTTTATTCTAGTCAGCACACTATAGGAAGATATGCTGGTCTTGCCAGATTTAACAGAATAGATCCATGGATGTGGGATTTTAGCACAAGCTGGGGCTGTTCTCCATAGAAACAGAAAATAGGAGCAGGAGTAAGCCATTCAGCCCATTGAGCTAATTCAGCAAGATCATGGCTGACCCTCCATCACAATGTCATACTCCTGCTCTGTCTCCCCCATGGTCCTTAACTTCTGGAACTCTATTTATTTGTTTCTTAAATATCTCCAGTGACTTTGCCACCACAGCCTTTCAGTGGTAGAGAATTCCACAAGTTCACCACTCTCTGAGTGAAGAAATTTCTCCTCAACTGCATGTGAAATGGCCTACCCTGTCTCAACCATCAATAAAAAGCAGACAATTTGCTCATTGTCACCTTGCTGTTTGTGGGATTTTACTGCTGCATTTCCTGGTTTACAACACTAACAACACTTCCAAAAGTGCTTTAGGACCTCCAGAGGTTATGGAAATATATATTTGAATCTGGCCCGAGGAGTCTCGCAAATATAAAATGCAGGTAAATTATTTTGCATTCCTGGCAAAAGTACAATCAAGCATCAGAAGATAATATTGTTACACTTGGCAAAGATGGACTCTTGACCTGCAGTTCCCAATTCTGTTTCGTCAAAGAGACCTTTCCCTCAGATATGGTATTTCATGGCTCGTGAAACTGGATTTTCATGTGTCATATTCTCCTGCACATTCATTATTTCATTGAAAACCATATCAAAGAACTTCATCAGCTCAGGCAGATATTTGGTGTTAGTTTTATACATCCAAGACTCACCCGGAAAAATGTCTTGAGGAAGTGCTCATAGATGGAAACCATCATTACAACTTTGATATGCTCATAATATAATTTCTAATTACTTAAAAATACATGAAAAAGAACAGCAAATCCTAGGATTAACTAAAAACAAATGGATGCTGGAAATCTGAAATAAAAACAAAGTGCTGGAGAAACTCTGCAGACCTGACAGCATCTGTGGACAGCACGTCTGATATAATTCTGCTTCAGTCCTTTCCCAACCAAAATGACATCAGAATTAGTGAAAGAAAAAGGGCATGGAATTCTACTGTGCCGGTCACAGCCTCAGAACATTCCAAAGTTCTTTACAGCTAATCAGGTACTTTTTGGAAGTGTATTCAGCAATGTAAGGTTGGGAATTGCAGTGGTAAATTTGCACACGGGAAGTTCCACAAATATTCACGAGATAATTGTTTTAATCGTGGCCTGGGGCCCTTAGGTAGAATGCTGCCACCAATCCTTCTTCCAGTGCTGGTCTAGGGGATTTCCAGTGGATTCTGGTGAAAGGTAAACCACAAATAAATCTCAGAAGTGACATTTATCCTGGGGAACGAGATTAGGTTTATTACATACCAGTAACAAGATACAGGTCGCATTATACTGATAACAAGGAACAGATGACATGATTGTCTCCAATTACAATTGCCCAGACCCCACAAGACATTTAAGAATATTTAAGACTCACCTGTGGTTGTGTTATATAAAATTAATTTTTAATGATGTTAGTTGAACAGAAATATTGGTACAGGACGCAAGAGGGAAACTTGACTGCTCTTCTTCAAAATATTGTTGGGGACTTTTTACGCTCGCCTGAAGGAGCAGAGCAGAGATCTGCGTGGCTTCACATCTCTCTCAAAACCAATGATGATGGAAAACACAGTGGTTAAGTAACCAGTTTTACCAACAAAAAAAAACAGGAAGTTCACACCATTGTCTTTTTAAAGAAAGCAATGCAACAGAATAATCGACAAGGTGATAACTCGTGTGTGATTTGTTACTAATGAATCTGATCGAAGTGATTCGGGGATTGGTTATGACAGTCAATGCTTCCATCTTATCTTCTGACAGGCCGAATATTCTAACTGGGAAGGTTGGCCGAAGTAATGTTTGCTCCAGGGTTTCATACTTAATATCAAAATTGTGCACCATTGTCCAAAGCGTTTTCCAGTTTCATGAGGGCAGCGGACAATTTTTGGGATTATTCATTTATCATTTAGTGACAACTACATAGGTAGAATTTTCATCTGCAAAAAACGGATGAGTACAAAAGCAGGCAGTCGAGTACATTTGAGCCTTTGGACAATGTGACAGTTTGCAGGCAGCACTCTTCACAGTAACAGCATCAGGTTTCGAAAGGACTGCTTGTCCGTTAAACAGCAGGAAATGAATTATATCAGAGATAGTAAGAACTGCAGATGCTGGAAAATCTGAGATAACAAGGTGTAGAGCTGGATGAACACAGCAGGCCAAGCAGCATCAGAGGAGCAGGAAGGCAGACGTTTCGGGCCTAGACCCTTCATCAGAAATGAGAGAGGGGAAGGGGGTTCTGAAATAAATAGGGAGAG